AAGAAAGGCAACTAGTAAACATAAAAGAAAGGGATCTTTACTGGTGTGTTTTCTAATGGAAGTAATTCAATTATGTTTGGTGTGGTATTGCGTTAACGCGTATATATTGTGCGCATTGAGAGTATATATATAATTCTCCCAGGGAAATTCATAGGATATGCATGAGAAGAGTGTGTGTGTGTGTGTGTGTGTGTGTGTGTGTGTGTGTGTGTGTGTGTGTGTGTGTGTGTGTGTGTGTGCTTGTCCGTCTGTCTGTCTGTGTGACTCCGGATTAGAATGGGAGTTCCGCTAACTCCTCCCCAGCTGTCCTCATTCCCTTTGTTCCGGGCTGGCTTGTATCTGCAGAAAGTTGGATACACGGCAGCTCCTTAATTCTGCGCATAAAACACCCATACTTAGCACACTGTGGGCTGCGTTTTAGGTTGCTTATGCCTTGGTGGAGACCCCTTCGGGAACGTAACACACGAAATGCCTGGTGTGGTCTAGGTTGGATATAAATGGTCACCTCTCGCAAGAGGAGCACCACTTTTTCGATTGCGGCTGACGCGGATCTGAGCCGAGAGGTGGAGAATTTAGGGTATGAGACGTTGAACTATGATGTTGCGAAGAATGTTTCGTGGGATTCCTGACCGATCTGGCAACGAACTGCCCAGAGGAACCGAGGTGTCTGGTGTGGTCTTGCGTGCGTGTCTTCCTTTATTTCATTGTATGGAATAAATATGAGTGTGCGCCCGTAGAATATAGTTTTTCCCTACTGTTTTCTGCCTCATCACGTCCTTTTGGGGAGCAGGGGGCCCCCCGGTGGGCCCCTTCGCTAGCGCATGCATGCGGCGCTCGCTGCATGAATGTGCGATTGTGGTGTATGTACACATCATTGCTCGCTTCGCAACTGCCGTTCTGTGTCGCAGAAAAGGACTGCATCATGAATGACTTTTAAAGTCATGTAGTCATTTATTTCCTTCCTTTCGACGAATGAGCCTCCTCACCCCCGATGTCGATCTCTCAGATTTCTGGCGGGTCCGTGTTCTCCTCCAGCCGACGGAGGGAACCTCCCCGTCTCTCTTCTCTGAGCTGTCTCTCTGCCTCACCCGCTGTTTCTCCTGCCTTCCCTTGGCCTCCCTGCCCGTCTCCCCGGCGGATCCGCATGTCGCACCGTTCCTTTCCTCCCCGAACAACAGGAAGACACAGGCAGCCAACCTCTGGCTCTCCTTCGTTACACCCCAATACCTAAACAGTGACTGGTCAGACCTCTATGTGCACAAGCAGGTGCTGGGCGCCATTGCGATCCACATACCAAGCGCACAGCGATTCAACGCATCCCACCCTACTGCGCAAGACTCCTCCGCCTTCAAAGTTCTCCCTGCCCCCCCGACTGCCCGTACTGCTGAGGATGAGGCCAAACAACAGGCTTCCGAATTTCGCCGAATGCTCCAGGAGGAGTACCCTACGGTCCTCGTGAAGAGAGTCGTTTGTCTGCTTCCCCCTGCTCCTGGCACTGCATCGGCAACAGACCGAGCCACTTCAGAGGAAGACGACGAATTGGCTCTTCTTCCAGAGTCGCTATGGGAGCACCTAACCGGATCCGACCAAAGAGCTCCCGTGCGAGAGATGCAGGGGGCCCTAGAGGGGCCCCTGCGGTCTTTCTGTGCTGCGCTGCTGCGGCAGATGGGCGCTCTTGTTCTTCGCACTCCCGATGTCTGCAGGCCCCTTGTGACTCCTCTTGATGGAGCTTTGCTGCCTTCTTCCCCCTCGGAGACAGTGGGCTTGCCTCCGTCTCCTGTTTCGATGGGCAGACTCCCTGGGCCCCCCGCAATCCCGGGTGTACAGACAGGTGCTGCTGCAGGGCTGTTTCGGCTGATGGCCTCCCGCCTGCAGAAGCAGACTGCGGATTTGCTGCTGCTCGGAGGAGCTCCTGCAGCAGCTGCGCAGCTGTACCTTGCCGCAGCGGAGGCAGCAAGGGCTCACGGGGACGTTATTTGGCAAGCGGCAGCAGTGCAAGGCCAGGCAGCTGCGGTGTACGCTTACATGCAGCCCATGCTGAGGGAGGCAGAGTGTGCGAGCTGCCCCTCGACGGCTCCTGGAGGCAACCCCTCCAACTGCGCGAGTGGCGAGGCGAGGGCGGAAATAGACGAGGCAGCGGCTGGAGCAGCGACGACGCTCGATGGAACGGAGAAAGAATCCCCCCTGTACCGCAGCAACTCCATGCCCAGTGCGCCCACGGAGAGCAGCCTTATGAAGGGGCCTTCGAACGCTGATCCTCTACCTCCTTCCATAGAAGCGATTCTGCTGCAGTATCAGCAGCGTCGCGCGGGGGCCCCCGTGGGCACAGGGGGCCCCCAAGGGGGGGGCTTGGGGGCCCCCAGCGGAGTTCCCGCAGTCGAGGGATCAGGAGGCAAGGGGATTCCCTTGCTGCAGCCTCTTTCGGCTGCAGGGGGCCCCTATGGAGGCGCTGCTCCAAAGGGGTACGGTGCTGGCGAGAGGGAGGTCGACAAAGCGCATGCAGCGCAAGTGCAGGTAGGACAAAAAACACATCCTAAATTTTGCGATTTCTGGAAGAAGTGTGAGTCGGACGCATGCGTGTTTCCGCTTGGAAGCGGCAAATCGATCGGGGTTTGGTGGCTGAGGGAGTAGGCGAAGGAGTAAGGGGGAAGGGTCAGTATTTAAGTCTGTTAGGAAGGGCTGCGCTTCGTCAAGGTAGGATTCCGCAGAAAATAGGATGCCACAAGCAGTCGTGTGCGTCGTCTCCTTCGAATGGGGCTAGACATCTCACAAAGGGGCCCCCTCCCCCCTGCAAAAAGCATCTTGCCAGTGTCTGCTGAGCTCCTCAGACGCCTTTGCCGAATGATGTCATGGTACTTTCGTTCTTCTCTGCCCTTTGTTTGGGGACCGCTTGTTGATAACTCTTGCTGAACGTCTTCTCCCTTGTTTTTCTCCTCGAGCTCCTGCAGCGGCCGGGCGATTCTTTTTATTTCCAGCCTTTCTCTCTCTCTCTCTCGCCTTATCGATTTCTGTGTCTGTTTTCCCCACTCCCCCCCTGCGTCCTCTGTGAAAAAGTCATCGCCTCCTTTCAGACTCTGCGCCCCCCCGCTGTCTTTTCCTGATGCAGCTGGCACTGGATGCCATCAGCCGCAAGCTTCGAGATGCCTCTCACGCGTATCAGTCGCATCCTGGGGGCTTTCTGCTGCACGCCTGCTGCTCTTTGCTGCTGTGTCGCTTCCTGGCGACGCATGGCTCGAAGCTTGAGTGTCTTCAGTGCGTTTCCTCTGCGGCGGAGAGGGCGAAGCGCTTGCCCGTCAAGGATTTCGTGTGTCTGTTGGGGGCCCTCGGCGGTCTTTGTGGGGCCCTGGGGGCCCCCCGGAAAGCCGCCTTCCTCCTGCACCGCGTGTGCATGGCTCTCATGGAGGCGCAGCGGTGGGAGGCTGCCCACTACGCTGCAGCTCTCGCTGCTCCCTGTTATCACCTCGCGGCTTTGCACCTCGCTCCTCCAGACCGACTGCATCCCCTCGCGCACAGACGTGCGACACTCCTTAAGGGCCTCGCGGGGCTGGAGCAGCAGGATGCATGCGGAGCCTCCTCTCGGCAGACGGCACTGGGGAGCGATTTCGCGGGGTTCTGCAGGCAGTCTTCTGCCAGCCTGATGCGGGCAGAGGGGCCCTCAGACGCGCTTTCTGAGCGCGCGGCTTTAGCCGACAAGTCCCCTTCTTCTCCGAGGCACAGCGCATCCGCCTCAGCGCAGGGGGGCCTCTCGGAGAAGAGCGAGTCGCCATACTTCCCGGTGCCTTCGCGACGTCGACTTGCCGAGGGCGCTCGGGGGGGAGGCAGCGGCAAGAGCAGCAAGGCGCGAGGGCCCTTCCTCACTTCTCTGTGGAGGCTCGTGCACGAACTGCAGACAACGGCGCACTCGCCGGATTCCACGAGGTGGAGGGCTCCCTCCCGCTGGGCGCTCCGTTGCCGGGGGGGGCCCCCGGGGCCCCTGTCTCCGGGGGGCCCCTCTCTTTGGGCCTTCTTGCTCCGGCATGCTGAGCGATTGCGATTTACAAACAACGAAGTTCGAGTGGCTTGGCCGGCGCTGCAGTCTCGCGTGCTGCACGTCTTGAAAGTCTCGGCAGAGCAGCTTGGCGACTTCTCGCGGGTCGCCTGGTACTCCTTCGCATCTCTGAAGCTGCTGTATCCAGTGATCGACGCCAAGGCGCAAGCTAGCGCCGTCATGGTCCTACAGGTGCGGTGTTTCGGCAGTCAGCGTGTCGAGCTGAAGAGGAGGGGAAGGAAGCGGGGCGGGGAGGCTCCTGGGAGCCGAGGGGGAGGGTTGTAGAAAAAATTGGAGGAGGAAGAGGCTGGCAGAAACTGAGGAGCTGCTGGGGAGTGGGCGTGGGTGGGCTTTTTGTTCGAGGAGAAAGGATTGCCAAAAAGGGGCTTCAGGATGTTGGTCTTTGTCTCTCTTCTCTTTTGTCTCTATTCTCTTCTTCTCTCCTCTCTTTTCTCCTCTCTTTTAGCGCAGTTTTTTGTGGTCCCTATAGGCCTCTCAGCCGCCGTATGCATCAACTCGCGGAGTGAGCGACGAGTGCAAGGAAGGCTGAGGGGGCCCCTCGTGCTTCCCTGGTATTGACGGTAGCTGCTGAGCGTCTCCGCGCATCTCATGCTTGGATTCTGCGCCTCTGCTCAGGCAGCTGCTGGCCGAAGAGCGACCACCCCTCTGTGTTTGCCTCCCGTTTTGACGATCCTGATGCCCCGTGCACCCACCGATCGACGCGGAGGGCCCCTCAAACCCAACGGGGGGGGCCCCCCGGGGGCCCCCAAGAATCTCAACAGAGGCACCGCTTCCGCGAATCGGGGGGGGGCCTCCCGACCAGGCGAAGACAAGCTCAGCTATCTCGGGGGTATGTGCAGAGGCTCTGTGGCTCCCTTGCCGCTGCTCACCAAGCTTCTGCCTCTTGTTGACTCTGCACCTCCTGGAAGTCTCGCCGCGCCGGGAGGCAGTGAACCGACCAGCTGCATCCAGAAGAGGCCCTCGAGGGGCCCCCTCGGCAACGCGAGCTCCCCTGCGCAAAGCGGCGACTTTTCTTCTGCTGCGGGCGGGGGGGGGGAGGCGAGGAGGGAGAAGGGGGCCCCCCCCCCCCAGCTGTGCCGCTGCTCTCCCCAGCGGCTCCGGGGGGGACGGACGGATCTGTTCTCTCCAGCTCGATCTCCGTCCCCCCTAAGAGCGCCAATGACGTCTTGATGTTCAACCCCTTCCGTAAAGACGTGGGATCGGGAACCCCTGCACGCCTCTCGCCCTCTGGCTTGTGGGTAAGGGGGGAACTGCGGACTGTGCAAGTCTCTGTTCGGAATCCTTTGAGCGTCGAGCTCGTGCTAGACAAAGCCAAAGTGATTGTCTGCGGCGCGAAGGCGGAAGTTTATCCCGTGACCGTCCTCGTGCCTCCTTCGGCAGCGCACCAAGTCACCTTCGAGGTGAGGCAGATTCGACGCAGCCGCAAACCACGAGAGACAGAGAGAGAAAGAGAGAAGAAAAACCTTGTCTTGTGCATACACTGGCCGTGTCGCGTTTCCTCGGCTGCTGGCAAAGTCGCTCGTATCGCATCGTGGCGTTCCCCCTCTCTCATGCTGCGCTGCTTCTTGACTGTCTCGATTTTATCTGTTCTAGAATGCGAAGCCTCGTCTCTTGTCCTTTTGTTGCCGCTTTTTCCTCGTGCCTTCCCGTCTCCTTCTGCGAGATGCACGGCTGAATGCTGCATGCACTCGGGGAGCACCCACTTGAACGTAACGCAATAGGGGCAGGGTGGCATCTGCGTGGATATCCGCCGTCTTCTGCAGTCTTCTTGATTGTCTCCTCTGCATCTCCCTGGCTTGTTTTCTCGCACCCTTAGGAAGCGGGGTGGGGCGAATGCGGCGAAATGGGACGTTTAATATGTATATATTTATATCTGTGTGTATATATTAGGTGTAGATATGTATACATGTGTGTATATGTAGGTGTATATATGTGTATTGCATATACATATATATACGTATGATGTCTATGTATATTTGTGTTCATAAGAAACCAAAAATGAAAAGCTGTGTTTCGGCCTGTAAGTGCCTGCGTGTTTTTACTTTCACGCCTCCTCCCTTATCCCGCGAGAAAGCGCCGACTCCCGCCTTTCCTTGTGGCGTGTGTTGTCTTCTGATTGCGGGCTGGGATTTTTGTCGCGCTCACGACGAAAGGTTCTTGCCTGCACTGTTTCCCGCCTTCTTCTATCGGCGCTGCTGCTGCCATCTTGCACGGGTTCGGCCTGTCTAAAACAAGCGCGCATGCAGCTGCATGGTCTGCTGCGAATTCGTTCGTAGGTCACAGTTATGCCGCGGGAAACAGGCTACCTCTACTTTACGGGGCTTTCCTACACCTTAAACAGAGTGCAGTGCTGTCAGTTGCTTGTGAGACAAAGCGAGAAGCTTGATGGTCTTCTGAGCAACAGCAATTTCGTTGGCACGCCTTCGGGTTTGTTTCCTGGAATGGCTGGCGGCGTAGGAGGCACTTACTTGCAGAGTGGGGGGGTTCTACAAGAATTGGACGTTCGATTCAAGACGCAGGCGGATACGGCAGCAGCAGCAGCAGCTGCTGCTGCAGCAGCTGCAACTGCTGCTGCTACAGACGATTGGCTTCCAGGAGAGGAGTTCGCCGAGGCTGCGGGGGAGTTGCTGGAGTGAGGCTGCCGCAGGCAATGAGGCTGCCGCTGAGAAGGGTTTCTCTCAGACGGAGCGGCAGAATTGCCGCAGAGGATCGGCTTCTGACTGTGCTGCTGTTTCCTTTCAAACTTCCTCGCCTTCTGCTGCTGTGGCTCCAGAAACGGGCTCCTACTCACTGGAATCGTTGCATGCAGAAGGAGGAGGCAGCAGGGGCGGGAGCGGCCTCCTCCTGCTGCCTGGAAGAAAGGCAAGCAACGCCCTTCCTCGTTGCGTGCTGCCTGTTTCTGTGTGTTGTAGGTACAGTGCAGCCGCTTGCGTGGAGGTTATTCCGGAGCTGCCTTTGCTGCGCATCTCGCTTGAGGCTGCTGCTCCAGCATCCTTTCCAGCGGCTCGACTTGAGCGTCGACTCAGGACGGCAGCACGGAGGCAGACACAGACACAGCAGGAGCAGAAGCAGAAGCAGCAGGAGGATCGCAGGAGTGCGTCGGTCCGTCAAGCTGGGCAGACGGAGAAGAGGCTTCTGAATCAGGAGTCGGAGGAGTCGAGGCGACGGGGAACTATTTGGTCGGAAGTTCAGAGTGATTCAGCGTTTACGGTGTCGTGTCTCCAGCGAGGCAGTGGCTCTTGGGAAGGCCGATGCTCTCAGGCTGCTTCTCACCGACGTTGGGGCAGTAGGAAGGAGGAAGGAGAAGACGGTTCTTCGTCTTCCAGCGAGGAAGATGAGGCTTGGGGGGCCTCATCTTCTTCGCTTGAGGGAGCCTCAGGAGAAGGGGATGCAGGCTTGCTCGCTGCCTTTTCGTTCGACTCCAGGAGACACGTCCAGCAGGGCTTTGAGGCAGTACGTTGCGCTAGAGGGGCGAAGGCTAGGAGAGGCGGTGGTGTATTTTTCAGATAGTTCACCGAGCGCTGTAGCGGGAAGGAGCGAGGGGGAGAAGGGTGGCTGCTACGCTTTTTTGGGGCCCTTCGAGCAGCTGCAGTGGGGGGCGGAAGGGGAAGGAGGCTGCCTTCCTGCCTGTAGGGCATTTGACGTTCTCGTTTCCTCTCTTTCTGCCCCCTGTTGGAGCAAGCTCTCGCATGCGTTGGATTCCCTCTGACTTGATGCGGCGCAGCAGCGGATCGAGGGATCTGCAGTCGCCTCGGCAGATCCCCGACACTCCCCAGTCTGGGAAGGCCAGCACCGACTCCTGTCTGTACACCTGGAGAACGTGGGGCGTATCCCCGTGGGAGACCTTTCCTTCAAGGTGCTTACGCCGAATGCTACCGAGCCAAATCCGAAGCAGAAGATGGCTCTTGAAAGGCTTTTTCAAGTGAGTCAGTTGGTGGTATTTTTTGAGTCTAGGGCCTCTTTCGGCCGCCTCGTTGGCTGTGTGGCTGTGCTGCCGCGGGAGCTCTCTTTCGTAGGATCCACCACGGCAACTGCCCACATGTGCATGTCTGGCCGTGACTCGCTGCATGTACAGCTGTACGCATTCAGCAGGCAGAAGGACGGTCCGGAGGAATGCAGTAGAAGCGGGAAGGGGAAAAGGCGGGGGCAGGCAGACCGTCGTTAGAGGCCTGTACACTTTTCGCCTCCCTTTTGTGTGGCTCTCTGCCACACCCCACAAACTGCGGCTGGCATTCTCGCTGTCGCGCATGCGTGTTATTTGTGAAATTCGCAGGTTCTTTGGAAGCGTGAAAGTGCTCCTGCCTGCTTAGGGCCCGCAGGAACAGTCGAGTTTTCCCCTGCAGGATTTCGAGGCGAGGCCTCTTGCGAAGACTACCTGGATTTAAATCCTTCCCTTCTTCAGAGTGCCTCATCAGGATTCCCCAGCGGCGACGCCTCACACAGTCTGTTGGAGGGCAAATGGAAGGCGGAAGCATCCTTCTCCTCCTCCTCATACCACCAGGAGGAGGAGGGGCCCCCCCTACCCATGTCCTCGACGGGGGATCAAAGTTTCACAGGCGTCGCAGTTTCGCCCTTCTTGCCGCCTTGGAAGGCTCCCCCAGAAGGAGCAACGGTGTCTTTCGACCCTCTGCCTCTGCGAGGAAGACTTCCCAACGATGGCTCAGAGAAAAACGCCTCGGAAAGGGAAAAAACGGAGTCTCCAGCCTCGAGATTCGAGAAAACCCCACTCATTCAACCAGGACAGAGAGTTCGAATTCCTCTAAGATGCATTGCCAGCGAGCGATATCCCTCGTGCTTTATAGAGTAAGCCGCAAACCGAACTGCTTTGCCTCTGTGCTGTCTGGGGACCATTGTAATACCGAACTATTCGCGCGATCGATCTCTTATTGAAGGCCAGGCATGCTTCTGTTCGTCTCCCTGGCGTCGGTCGATGCTGCATCGCTTGATGCTCTCTGTCTCTCTCTGTGTGTGTGTGTGTGTCTCTCTCTGTGTCTCTCTCTCTCTGTCTGTCTGTCTGTCTGTCTGTCTCTCTCTCTGTGTCTCTCTTATTTAGCACCTGTTCTCCGCCCTCCCACCTCTCCCTTCAGGACTGCCTCTGCTCCTGAATTATTGCTCTTTCCTGTGCGCATATCTTGGCGTCATGTGACTTACTCTCTTGGTCTTGGTGCCGCTGCGCCGTCATCCCTCCCGGATCTTCGCTTTCTTCCCCTCGAAGCCTGTCCCCTCTTCTGTAATCCCGGCTCCTCTCGTGTGTGTTTACGTATGGAAGTATATAAATATGTGTTTGTATTGTATGTATGTGTGTATCTATGTACGTCTTTATGCGTATGTATGTGTGTGTTTTTAATGTCCCTATGTCTGTGTGTATCTATGTGTGCATAGATGTATGTATGTGTATATCTATGCATGTGTGGAAATGTAGGTGTGTGATTATATATCCATATATGTGTGTGTGATTATATATCCATATGTATGTGTGCAAGTATATGTCCATATATGTGTGTAAATATATATCTATGTATGCTTTTGTGTGTAAATATACATCTTCAAACGTGTGTGTAAATATATACATACCTGTGTATGCATATGTGTGTGTAACTATATCAATGTATGTATATGTGTGTGTAACTGTATATGTATATATGTATTCGTATATATGTATACGTATGTGTGTATGTGCAGGGTCTCGTATTCTCTGTCGGCTGATTATCCTTATCACCGAGTGGTGTACATACCGCTCAGCCTCCGTGTGCAGAGCGGCTTGCATCTTCGTCCGCAAGGCCTCTCTCTCTTTCCGGTGTCTTGTTTCGATCCTCTGGCAGTTCTCAGGACGCTTTGTTACTCGGGTTTTTGCCCAGAGGCGCTCGCGGCAGAGCTGGGCATGGGGGCCCCTTATTGGAGTCTCCCCCCCGACGAGGAGGGCCCCTTGGGGGCCCCCGGGGACTCGGAGAGCGAGGGGCTAGGCGGGGGCGGGGGGGCCTCCGGGGGCCCTCTGGGGTCGCCCGGGGCAGCCAGTCTTGCATGCAGACCCCAGGAGGGGGGGGCCCCCTGGACCCCCTTCCAGCCACGTGCTGATGGCAGAAGCAGTCGCAGAGTCTCCTTGGATAGTGGTACAGGAACTGTCGGAGCGCTGGGGGGAGGCATAGTGGCGACGGGGGGCCCCTCCCCTCCTCCGGTGTCGTCTTGGTGGGGGGCGGGAGCGGGGGGCCCCGGCGGCTCGCTCTGCCTAGGCGGCCCTTATGGGGGCCCCCCGGAGGGGCCCCCCCCCGCCGCTGCTGCTCCTCCTCCGCTCAAACACGAGTTCGACTACAGCAGATGCATCTTGTGTCTGGATCTGACGAATGCTGCCCCCGTAGACTTCGAGTGCTGGGCTTTAGGCGATAAAGCCTCAGGCCCTCAAAGACTCAGTGTGGGACCTCATGATTCCCAGTCAAGGTCAGTCTTCTTCAAAAAGAGGCCTTGTGGCTTGATTGCTTTTTCACAAGTCATAGTGAGCTGCTCTTTATGTACGAATACTTATATCTATGCATGTGCGTATGTGTATGTGTGCTGCGCACCCCGTGTCTCTGCCTCTCTCTCCTTTTCCCTGCGTCTATGGCCGTGTCGGCTTGCAAAACGTAAAAACACCTGTGTGTAGGCGGTATGCAAGAACGCGCGTAAAAATACATGTATCCGATGCCTCATGGATGCCTCTTCTCTCTCTCTTTTTTTCTAACCCTCTGTCTCTCTACGTCGCTCTCCATTTCTTGTATCTCCATCTTTCTCTCCATTTCTTTATTTCCACCTTTCTCTCTATTTTTGTATCTCTATCTTTCTCTCTGATTTTTGTATCTCTATCTTTCTCTAATTTTTTTAAACTCTATCTTCCTCTCCCTATTTTATCTCTCCCCCTTTCTCTCTATCTTTCTCCCTACTTTTTTATCACTATCTTTCTCTCCCTATTTTTTATCTTCTCCTGTCTCTCTGTCTTGCTCTATCTGTCTCTCTGCCTGCCCCCTCCCTTTCTCCCTCCCTCCTTTTCTCCTTATTTTTGCCTCTACAAGCGAGCGCTGCATGGAGGGTGGTGGCTCTTCGGTTTAGCGAAGCGCTGCATGTTTGACTCGAGCTTCTGTGCAGTCTGCTGCCTGACAGAATCAACGGAGGGCCTCTGTCTCCGTTCAGTGAAGCGTTGAGTGCACTGCATTGCCGTGCTTTGGAGAAACGCATTGTACTAAGACGGTTTTCATCTTTCGTGAAAATAATAAGGCGGCGCCTGCGCAGCTTGAGCGCTAGAAATTTGCGTCTTGGCGTGCGCTGTATGTACGGTGTCGCTGCTTAGGTGGGCTTTGTGGGTAAGTCGCTTATCTCTTCCTCCCGACGCTGATGTAGAGACGTCCCTCTCAGAGCTCGAGAGACGGCTGCAGCTGCGGTGGAAGACGTTTCCTTCGCAGCAGGGATCTCTCTGCCTCTTTGCACTGCTGGAGAAGGCAGCGAGAGTGGCTTTGCAGCGGCGTGGAGGGGCAGCCGCTTTGGGGGCTGCCGCCAACGCGCATGCAGCAGGGGGGGGAGCGAGACTGCCGGGGAAGGATCTTTCCAGGGAGGATGCGGCTGCTAAGGCAGTAGGAGGAGCTCATGAAGGCCTGTCGCAACAAACGCGCAAGTCGCCGAACAAAGAGGAGGCTGGGAATGCCCCTACGCAGCAGGAGCCACAACAAACAGCAGATGAAGAAGAAGAAGCAGTGCCGCAACATGAGTTGATGAATCTTCTTCAGCTACCCCACCTTGCGGCCCCAAAGGTGTGTGTCTGTCTTATCGCCACATTTACGTGTCTCTTCAGACATTAGAGAGAGAGAGAGAGAAAGAGAGAGAGAGAGAGAGAGAGAGAGAGAGAGAGAGAGAGAGAGAGAGAGAGAACGGAAGAGCGCACGAGAGAACTCGAGACACAAGAGGATATCGTATGCGGTCGTCTGTTGGAAAAAAAAAAAAGTGAGTTTTTTAGGGTTTTTTTTTATCAGTGTTTTTTTTTTTTTTTTTTTTTTTTTTTTGTTTTTTTTTTTTTTTTTTTGT